GGCGGAAGGATCGCCGGAGCCCAGCAGGTTGAGGCTGCGGTGACCAGGAGCGGTCACTGCACTCCAGTCTGGGCGACAGAGTGAGACTCCAACTCAAAAAAAAGAGCGCCATTGACCTTGACCTTTCCCCTGGGATGATATGATGCGTGGGAGGCAGTCATTCTCAAATCTGAATCTGAGTATCAGTATCATGTAAGAAGTTTCTTGACATAGAGACTTCTCCCAGTAACTCTGGTTCAGGAGTCCGGGGTGGGACTTGGAATCTGCCTTTTGTAAAACCTGTTCAGGAGAGGTGAGAGGATGGCCTGAGCCCACGGGTTCAAGAACAACCTGGGCAACTTGGCAAGACCTCATTTCTACAATATATCGAAAAATAAGCCGGGCCTGGAAGCGTGAGCCTGTAGTTCCGGCTACTTGGAAGGCTGAGGTGGAAGCGTCGCCGGAGCCCAGCAGGTTGGGGCTGCAGTGGCCATGAATGTGCCACGGCACTCCAGCCTGGGCGACGGAGTGAGCATCCAACTCAAAACAAAAAACAAAAAAACCTCTTCCGGAGCAAGGTGCAGGGGCTCACACTTGTAATCCCAGCACTTTGGGAGGCTGAGGCTGGAGGATTGCTCGAGACCAGGAGGTCTGGGCAGCCTGGGCAACACAGTGAGACCTCATTTCTACAAAAAAAAAAACTAACTGGGTGTGGTGATGGCACGTGCCTATGGTCCCAGATACTCAGGCGGCTGAAGTGGAAGGATCACCTGAGTCCAGGAGATTGACGCTGCAGTGAGCTGTGAGGGTGCCACTGCGTTCCAGCCTGGGCGACAGAGTGAGTCAACTCAAAAATGACATGCAATAAAATAAAGGTTCTTCAGGTGATTCTGAGGCACGGCTGCAAACCACTTAACACTGAGCTTGCCCCTGACTTGCTGTGGGGCTTGGGATAACCAATGTGCCCTCTCTGGGCCTCAGCTACCAACTCAGAGAATCTGAACACCACCAAACTGGAAGACACTCCCATCTAAGCACCCATTGTACACAAGATGAAATTGAGGCCCGGAGAGATGGGGCTACTTCTTCAAAGCCCGTTTTCAGAGGGCCTCCTGCCATGCCACCCAGGGGATGGCTTGGTGCCAGTCCCCGCACCAGCAGGCACATAGCAGCAACCCACTCTGTCCTCCTCCTTCTACAGTGAGAACAGAGGCCAGTGAGGCGACTGGACCCCTTACCCCCGGGGCAAAAGGGCGGGGGTGCTCACCTGGAAGTACACCATCCAGTAGGGTACCAGGGTCACCATAACGGGCAGGATCTTCACCAGCACCTGGAAGTTGGCGATGTCCTCTTGGGGGCAAGGCCCAGGCTGGGGGGACCTCTGGCCAGGCAGCAGGTGGGTACCTTGAGGGTCTCTGTGGGACCCAGGGGCAGTAGGCTCGACAGCATCCGTCACCAGTCCCACCCCACGGCCACCGTTCTCGCCTCCGCCATCATGCCCTGATTTGATCCTTCCCCCAGGGACAGCACTCCCGCAGCCATCATATCTGAGGCCACCACCCTCGTCTCCTCCATCTACTTCACGTCACCCCTGCCATCACCACCCCTGTCGCCAAGGCCAGCATCCCTGTCGTTACCTTCAGTAAAGTGATCGCTGTCACCAAAACCCTTCTCTCCACGGAGTTTCCTTTCTATTCCCATCACACATTTTCACTGTTGGCACTACCACTGCCAATATGATCACTATCATCTATCCCTCTCTCCCTCTCTCCCTGACCCTCCCTCTGCCTCCCCCCCCCCTTTAGTCAGGTCTCACTCTGTTGCCCAGGCTACCATGCAGTGGTGCCATCGCACCTCACCGCAGCCTTGACCTCCCGGGCTCAGGTAATCCTTCTGCCTCAGCCTCCCGCGCAGCTGGGACTACAGGCATGCACCATCATGCCCAGCTTATTTTTTTGGTTCTTTGTAGAGACAAGGTCTTACTATGCTGTCCAGGCTGGTCTCGAGCTCCTGGGCTTAAGCAATTCTCCCACCTCGGCCTCCCGAAGTGCTGGGATTACAAGTGTGAGCGACTGTACTCGGCTATCATCTCTTTTGTAGTAAAGATGGCCGGTCGTGACTCACTCCACTCTAGAGCTTTGGCCCTTTGGGTCCTGGGGGAAGTAAGACCAGAGACTGTGGCAAGCAGAGTCTTAAGGGATGCTTTGTCTTGTAGCATCAATCTGCCACAGGGACCAGGGGAGTCCCAGTCCGAGCCTGATTCAGAGAGAGAGGCCATTCCAGATTCGATTCACCGAAACTCACTCATCTGCTGACCTCAAGTCGATTCTCCTCAACAGTCAACGTCATAACCCTCTCTCTACATGACAAGGAGTAGGGAAGGAGTAGAGGGAACATCAGTAGGAGACAGGGTAAATCAAGCATTGCTGTGACCTTTACCCTTTGCCCTCTGTGCTGAGAGGTTTCTGACCCCTTCTTGTCCAAGAGCCTTGAGATTCCAAAAGGGACGCTATCAGCAGGGTCATCTCCCAAGACAGTTTCCATCAACTCCACCCCTCCCAGTCACTAAAGGGGAGTTTATTTCCCCTGCCATTAATTCTGGGCCAGACTTGTGACTGCTTTGACCACTAGAATGAGACAGAAGTGATGCCCTTGGACTTCTAAGCTTCTCCGGGGCCTTAGGAAGACCCGAAGCTTTTGCCTTCTTCCCCCTGGAGTATTCATTCTTGGAATGCTTCTTCCTCTTACAACCTAGACACCAGGCTGTGTGGGAGACCCAAGCCACACAGCAAGGCCACACGAAGGGGAACCAAGGTGCTCCAGCCTGCCGTCCCAGCTGAGTCTTCGGTCTACAGTCCACAGGTAAGTGAGCCGACTTGCGACACTCCAGCCTTTTCAAGTTCAGAATTGGGAGGAGGGGAACTCAAAAAAAGGTTGCTATTTAAGCCACTAAGCTCTAGTGTGGACTGTTTGACAGTGACAGAGAATTAAAGCAACCAGACCCCTTGGGGATACACCTGACGACTGTACTCACAGACCCTCCAGCAATATTCCAGACTGGGGAAGCATGTTCTTCACCATTTTCATCTAGATCCTACTGACAGCAGCTGTAACTGACGCTAAGGTCTGGAGATAGGTTTTCTTAGCATAAGCAGCCAAATTAGGAAGGAGAGGGGCAAAAGGAAGCTACTGAGCTTACGCAACACCATTCAGAACTTTCCTCCCTGGCATATCAGCTAATGGGGAAGAGAGCAAGTCTGGATGATTTCCTAAGGCTGTTATGTTAGACAACAGCGCAGCACAGAATTACTCAAATCATATCCCACCGGCCTCCACGGGTACTATCATCTCCATCATCACCACCTCTATGGCTACTGTCATCCCATTAGCAGTGTCTGTCTTCACTGTAGGTACCAATGCCGTCATCCCCATCTTTGTCACCATCAACACTGTCAAGACCATGATCATCCTCACCAATAATACCAACATCACCGCCGCCTTGATCTCCATTGCCACCCTCAGTTATAGTGGGCAGCTCTGCCCCACTGGAGAGCAGGTCACCATTAAGAACTATCACTGGAGCTGAACCAAAATGTCTACAATCTGGACTATTCCTTCCGGGAGAAGCACGGTGCTTCTCCAGAATTGGAGGCTCCCGCCAGGTACAGTGACACATGCCTGTAATCCCAGCACTTTGGGAGTCCAAAGCAGGAGGACTGCATGAGCCCAGGAGTTCAAGACCAGCCTGGACGGCATAGCAAGACCTCATCTCTTCAAAAAATAAAAAATAAAATATTAGCCGGGCGTGGTAAGCGCATGCCTGTAGTCCTAGCTACTCAAGAGGCTAAGGCGGAAAGATGGCCTAAACTCAGGAAGTCAAGGCTGCCATGAGCCATGAGCATCATAATCATGCCACTACACACCAGCCTGTGTGACAGGGTGAGACCCTGATTCAAAAAAGAAAAAAAAAAGGTCGGGCTCGGTGGCTCAGCCTGTCATCCCGGCAATTTGGGAGGCCGAGGCACATGGATTGCTTGAGCCCGCAAGTTTAAGACCAGCCTGGGCAACTTGGTGACACCTTGTCTCTACAATAAATCAAAAAAATCAGCTGTGAGTGTAGGCCTGTGAGTGTAGGCCTGTAGTTCCAGCTATTTGGAAGGCTGAGGCAGAAGGATCACCGGAGCCCAGCAGGTTGGCGCTGGGGTGGCCGTGAGCATGTCACTGCACTCCAGCTGGGGGCAAGAGTGAGACTCCAACTCAAAAAAAAAAAATTGGAGGCTTTCTTCACCCAGCCATCTCCTGTCCCATTCCTTACCTGTGTCGCTGCCACAGCCGGGGGCAGCAGTTTCGAAAAGCAAGCTTAAGCATAGCGGACACTTGGCTGCCCGTGGGAGGCTTGGTGATGAAGACGGGGGTGGCAAAGAGGAAGATGAAGAACGCCAGCCCCACGCAGCCCACGGGGATGCTGTAGCCCAGCAGGAAGCTGATGTTCTGCTGGATAAAAGCCACCACCAGCAGTGACAGCACAGCCCCCAAATTGATGCTCCAGTAGAACCAGTTGAAGAAGCGACGGGTGGCATCGCGTCCAAGATCCATCACCTGACAGCCAGGAAGGAATGAGAGTAAGGGCCACGGAGGCCATGCAGGGGCGCTCTTTGTACCGGCACCCCCTCACCCCCCCGCAAAGACATTTCTTGGGTCAGCGGGTGGGCATTCCGGCACTTTCCTATCCTCTGGTCACTAAGTAGACACTCAATAAATATTTGTTGAATAAACCCTTCTCTTGGGAGTTCCTGGTAACCGATCAGGACACTTTGGCACAGCTGTTTTTGCACACCCATGACACATATTACTTCTTTGTTCTCACTGAGGAGCACACACAACAGATGTCTCTGATGTCACCCTGTTCATTTCTGGTTGATTTGTCCCTTTGCCTTTGATTGAGCAACTTACACGATGCTTTACTTTCATAATCGGACAAAAAGCCAATAAAGACCTCGGTTCTGTTTCACATGATTAGAAAGAACAGTCAGAAGTCGGATAGAGAATTTCCTCTGCAGTTTGGAGATGCAAGCACAGTGTTCCATTGGGATCCATCCTGCCTTTCCCCAATATATGACAGAGGTGGTCCCAGACAGTCTCAAGAGCGAGTTCTCGCCTGGCGAAAACCAAAGTTTTTCCAGCCCCCCCTAACAAGGGCAGATGGATTGAAAATATTTACCCAGGATTTGGGTCAATCTGCAACAGTAGGCCCCAGGCACCCTTCGAGTCTGCTGGCTCTGGTCAACCACACTGGCTGCCCCCAATTCTCCCAGATTCTGACTCCAGATTCTGACTCAGCAGGTCTGGAGCAAGACCCAGGCATCTGCATTTTTAAAAAGCTGGGAAGACTAAAGATCATTTCAATGGAGAGAATAAATGATTCTCTACAAAAAAAAATTTTTGAGTTGGGGTCTCACTCTGTTGCCCAGGCTGGAGTGCAATGGTGCAATCCTGGCATACCAAAGGCTTGAGCTCCTGGGCTCAGGTGATCCTTCAGCCTCAGCCTCTTGAGTAGCTGAAAATAGAGGAGCATGTCACTACACCTGGCTAATTTAAAAAAATTTTTTTTTATAGAGACAAGGTCTTGCTATGTTGCCCAGGCTGGTCTCCAACTCCTGGGCTCAAGCAATCTTCCTGCCTTGGCCACCCAGATTACAGGTGTAAACCACCACACCCAGCCATGATTCTTTACATTGATAAATCAGTCACCCTTTCAAAAAAACCCCAAATCTCAGGATCCTTGACTGTCTTCCATCAATAGACATGGTATTTCCACTAGCTAAGAAGACCTTGTCAAGCTTTACTTTCTGTTGTCACATTGGGGAAAAGATACATATTTTTTCCTTTTCCAAAGGTAAAATTATAACCCACACAGATGTGGTTAAGACTGCACTTCCTTGGAGATTCTAAGGGGTCCCCATGGCGATAGATGGGAGGAGTGTGTTAGCTCACTGAGAATTCTTGCTCTAGTTCTTCAACCAGAAAATTGAATAGGTCCCATTAGAGGCAGCCACTTCCATTTATTAACTGGAAGAAAATGAATATGACAATTGTAACTCTAAGGGGGAAAGACCAGGCAGCCCATTCAGGATACAAATGAGTTCTTTGAGAATCAGTAGACACTTTGTCGGGAATGACGGATGGCCCTTTCTGAAATCAGCAAGTGTGGTGAACACGCCACTCCCGGGGTACAGCTGTTGCCAGATGGTGCCAGTCCCACCACCCCCACAGCCCTCACTGACAGCCCCCTTTGCTGCTCTGGGGCTTGTTAGCTCATCCATCTTCTACATTGTAGCCAGAGTCGTTTCAAAAACTCCAATCCAGTGAGGTTCGTCCCCGCCTCTGAGCACGGAAGCATTTCCGCACTGTCCTAGGAGTAAGGTGCGACTCAGGTGGCCTTCCAGCCCAGCTGTCTCCCCAAATGGGAGAATGCAGGGGCGCGGCTGTTATCATGGATGCTGTGGGAGGCTCCGCTCAGTGGCTTGACCTCCGGGACACCAGTTCCATTCCAAGAGGGGAATTAAGGAAAAATAGGAGATTCCTACTGGCAAATACTGGGAGCCTCCTGGTCTGAAAGGAAGTCAACAGTGGGTAAGAAATGGCCAGGGCATCCCTGGAGGCATGGTGCCCCCACCATCAAAGGTGTCTAAGTAGTGTGGATGCGTAACTCCTTGGCAAAGGCACCAGAAACTGCTGGGTGCTGGATTTGTGGATGTCGGCTGGATAGAATGATCCTTTAAAAAATGTCCCTTGTGTGGGTGTAACATACACAATGAAAGAACATTTGAAAACCAGAGACAAGCTGGGCTCAGTGGCTCAGCCTGTAATCCCGCGCTTTGGGAGGCTGAGGTGAGTGG